AACCACACCTTTTTTTGTTTTGGATACAGTGTGGCAAGATCTCCTCTATGGGGACACAGACAGAAGTCAAAATCTGACAGAAGATCTCACCCTTCCTTGTGCTACCTAAAACTGGTTGGAGTTTAGTTTTAACTCTGCGCCCAGTCTTCTTTCCATACAGGGATCAAGATTCTTACTTTCTACTTTAGTTTCTCTATACCCATACTTTATAACACACAGAGAGAATTAGACTTAATCTATCACCCACCAGCGAAGAAGAGTTCATTGTATGCATTAAACTTCACGGATCTGCCAGCAGGAATAATGGTTAACACTAGGCTAGGGGCCCATTCACACATAAATGCACAGCTGTCACACACTAAACCTCAGCAGTACAATGCGCTGCTGTACAGTGACGTGCGATCCTGTCCAGTGTGCTGCAATATATTGTAGACAGAGGATGTGGCATAGAACAAGTTTCACAAAGTAAACATTCAGTAACCCTGTGAGGCATTGTCTGGATTCTGGCTGCAGTTGATTACAGTGAATAACATGGATGTTGCCATTCCTGACATCCTTCTGAAAATGCCATCTGCCTGGCAATTGCACTGATCCTTAACTTCAGTAAAATCTGAGTCTATCACCTGGAACAAGCACACATCCATTGAAGTCAGAGTGAATTTGTAACTATGGATTTTCCCAGACTATGGATAATAAAGTGTTTACATATTTTTAACAAGCAGTAAAAGTTGTTTAAAACAAGCCCTTACTAACCTCTCTAGCTGCTTGTACTGTGAAGTAATCCATTTGCAAAGCTCCTCAAAGATTAAATGACTTGAAAGCCATACATTTTGTATGGCTCAAATCGCATTGTATCCACACCAAAAAGGTGGAAGACCCTTATTTTCCCGCACCTGATTGGTATCGTATGCGTGTTCACACCCATGCAATGCGAATACTGATAATCGCACTGTATTTTCCAATCTGTTTCGGGGTGTCATTAATTAAACATTGACTCCCGTACCAAATCGCACTGACGCCGTGTGATTGCAATGCGGTGCGTGAAATGTACAGGATTCGCTGCGTTTCCCGTACCGCATTAGTGTGAACCAGGGCTCAAGATGAATTTCTCCACAATGCCTATAGCAACTCGGGTGAGTTATGGAATTTTTCAAATGTAATGGTTTTTAGTCTGAATATTTAAATACTTTAGTGTGCTTAGTTTGGGCACAAGGTTATGTTTAGGCAATTTAAGTTGACTTTATGGTATCAGTTGCGGCATTTGCTGCATAGCGTTAGTACCTCCCTGACTTGTATCACTTATTACCTGAAATTTCTCTTTAACCCTCGGTTCACATCTGTGCAGGTGGTGCCGCTGTAGAACCCGCACAAATGCCTGCAGCCGTGTCACCGACATAGAGGAAGGTGGGACCTGTGGGTGGGTGCTATTAATTTTAATGGCACGCCGTCCACACTGAAATCGCAACCGTACTGGGAACCTTGGTAGTGCAGGGACTTCTTCCCTGCATGTTCCAGGGCACGGGAGTCCATTCAAATGAATGGGCTCTCATGCCCCTGCAAATCGTGGCCCACACAACCTCACAAATGTGAACCAGGCTAAAACATGGTCTGACCACATAAAGAGCCATACATTAACAAGATATCTAGAATCTCTACATAGTAGCACTTTTAATACATTTCACATACGCCCCCATGTAAGCTACAATGTAAGTGGGTGACCACAAACTTTTACAAGCAAGAGCTAAGTGCTGACAACCTCTGTAAAACTATAGCAAACAGAAGCTGTCATTTAGCTCCTGCTATCTTGTAGCACCTCTAATTAAATTTATTTGGTCAAGAGCAAAAGGCACCTGTGAGATTGGAGGAAACAGATGGAAAAGAGAAACTTGCTGGACAGCATGAACAGGAAATTAAAAAAAAATAAAAGAAAGAAAATACAATAAAAAGCCAACACTTGACAATCATGCAAAACACAAAGTTTAACATTTGATCTATTATATATATTCTGCTCCTTTATATATTAGTTTTACTTTCAGTATTAGAAAGACCATAATCATGTTTATTCCATAATAAGACAATTTATTAGCACTTTTTTGAGTTTTGCTTGGTCTGAGTTGAAAGGTAGAAAGACCGTAGTGCAAAGAACCTCCTTGTGGACTAGTTTCAGACATTAAGGCTTAGATAGTACCATAGGGAAGACTATAAGGGTGCCCAAACCCACCACGACAGATTACAATTTTAGGCCTTAGGCTGCATCCATTTGATGGTAGCTGGCAACTCTTGGGACAATCAAGCAACTAATTAGGATAGAAATCGAATCCAATTTTCTATTCTGTCGCACTGACAAGATGGCACTTGCAGTCTCTTCTCTCCTAGTTCCATTTTTCCTCTTTCACCTTCCCAACAGGGTTGCCACCTGATCCCTTTAAAACCCAACCCATAATAATTACACAGGTGCTGAGGCTAATTTAATACAGATAAGGCATCAAGTGAGTTTAATTACCACCTTAACCACTTGCCCTCCTGAGGATTTACCCCCCTTCTCGGCCAGGCCATTTTTTGCGTTACGGTGCTGCGTTACTTTAACTGACTATTGTGTGGTCCTGCAATGCTGCACCCAAATGAAATTTACATCCTTTTTTTCCCACAAATAGAGCTTTATTTGATCGCCTGGGCATTTTTTTTTTTCGCTATACAAAAAAAAAAAATTTTGAGAAAAAAAACAATATTTTTGACTTTTTGCTGTTAAACATGTCCAGTAAAAAAATATTAAAAATCAAATTTCATCATAACTTTAGGCCAATATATATTCTACATGTCTTTGCTAAAAAAAAAAAAATCCCAAATTAATTTGATTATGTGAAAGTTATAGCATTTACAAATGGCGGTATATATACAGGGATTTTTTTAAATTATTATTTTTACTAGTAATGGTGGCGATCAGTGACTTATAGCGGGGCAGCAGGCATTCTAACACTGGCGGGAACTGACTTGGAGTCACTGACATCCCCAGTGACACCAATACAGTGATCAGTGCTAATAAAAAGCACTGACACTGTACTAATGGCACAAGAAAGGTTTAACATGTGGGGCAATCAAAGGGTTAACTGTGTGCCGTTTTACATTCTGGGCTGTGCTTGTGCTTCACTATGCACAGCCATGCAAAGCAGTATGGAGGAGCTGACAGGGGAGAGAACTGTTTTGTTTATAAACAGTTATCCCCCCCGTCAGAGATGCTCAGCAATCACTGGGCGCCGGAGAGTAATCACAGCATGCGCCCCCTACCCGGAAATACAAAATCACACATATATATATATATATATATATATATATATATATATACTTGATTTTGAGCACCTGTGCCACCCTGTAGCAGTACTTCTGCTATAGGGCAGACAAGAAGCGGTTAATTAGCCACAGAACGCGTGTGATTAATATGCGTTTGTTTTAAAGGAATGAGGTGGAAAGCCTACTTCCCAACAAGGTAGCTTTGTGTTCTCTGTATGGCTCTGAAATATTGTTCATGTTGGACTAAGCTGGAAGTGGTGGTTACCTTCTTTAGCTAGACCTGCAAACTGATTCTATCTAAGAATTTTTGAATATACAGAACACTGAATGAAAATAAATTTTAAAATCCCTGCACTATTAAATGTCACAAAAGCCAGAAAATATATTACACCATATAAATATATAAGAAATAAGTAGAGCTGCTACCACATAATTAAAACATCGAAGCTGATTGGTTTCTATGCAGAAGTTAGCCTCAGGGGTGTGGACATTTTTTAAAAAACTACTTGTCCAGGGACTAAATCGGTGCCCCAATCTACCTGTCCCTCGTGACAATCTACTTGGCTTTATGGCGACTTAAACATTTACCGTATTTGCCGGCGTATAAGACGACTTTTCAACCCGTGAAAATCTTTTGAAAAGTCGGGGGGTCGTCTTATACGCCGGTATACGGCGAGCCGGTGTCAGGGCTGCACTTTTCGAGGGGCGGCGCTACCCCCCCTCCTCCTCCAACGGACACCAAGTACAGGGGTGGGCAGAGGGGCTGCTGTACCTTACCTGGCTCCGGTCCCAGTCCCACGACGATCCGGTCCAGGAAGCGCGGCTGCTCCTTTCAGTTCGGTCGCTCGATGGTCCCGCCGCCCGCTCGGCTCCGCCTCCTCACCGGTGATTGGGCGCCAGCACTGGAAAGGCACATAGGCGACCAATCACCGGCGAGGAGGCGGAGCCGAACGGCCCCGCGAAAATCAAGCGGCCGAACTGAAAAAAGGAGCAGCCGCTCCTCTCCCCCACTGACACTAACGATGGGGCACTATTCCTCCTCCACACTGACACCAACGATGAGGCACTGTTCCTCCCCCACTGACACCAACGATGGGGCACTATTCCTCCCCCACTGACACCAATGATGGGGCACTTTTCTCCCCACTGATACCAATGATGGGGCACTATTCCTCCCCCACTGACACCAATGATGGGGCACTATTCCTCCCCCACTGACACCAACCATGGGGCACTATTCCTCCTCCCCACTGACACCAACGATGGGGCACTATTCCTCCTCCCCACTGACACCAACGATGGGGCACTATTTCTCCCCCACTGACACCAATGATGGGGCACTTTTCTCCCCACTGATACCAATGATGGGGCACTATTCCTCCCCCACTGACACCAATGATGGGGCACTATTCCTCCCCCACTGACACCAACCATGGGGCACTATTCCTCCTCCCCACTGACACCAACGATGGGGCACTATTCCTCCTCCCCACTGACACCAACCATGGGGCACTATTCCTCCTCCCCACTGACACCAACCATGGGGCACTATTCCTCCTCCCCACTGACACCAACGATGGGGCACTATTCCTTCCACTGATACCAACGATGGGGCGCTATTCCTCCCACTGACACCAATGATGGGGCGCAATTCCTGCCACTGATACCAATGATGGGGCGCTATTCCTCCCACTGACACCAATGATGGGGTGCTATTGCTCCCACTGACACTAATGATGGAGCACTATTCCTCCCACTGACACTAATGATGGGACACTATTCCTCCCCCACTGACACCAATGATGGGGCACTTTTCTCCCCACTGATACCAATGATGGGACACTATTCCTCACACACTGACACTAATGATGGGGCACCATCATTGGTGTCAGTGGGAGGAATAGTGTCCCATCATTGGTAACAGTGGGAGGAATAGCGCCCCATCATTGGTATCAGTGGGAGGAATAGCGCCCCATCATTGGTGTCAGTGGGAGGAATAGTGCCCCATCATTGGTGTCAGTGGATGAAATAGTGCCCCATAATTAGTGTCAGTGGGAGGAGTAGTGCCTCATCATTGGTATCAGTGGGAGGAATCATGCCCCATCATTGGTGTCAGTGGGAGGAATAGCACCCCATCATTGGAATACCATACTGAAATACCATACCAGATTGAAATCAAATCTGATGTTTTTTCATTTTTGTTTGGTGTGCTTTGGAAGAGGGGTAGTCTTATATGGCGAGTATAGCTCAAACCCTATATTTTAACAGGAAAAGTAGGGGGTCGTCTTATACGCCCAGTCGTCTTATACGCCGGTAAATACGGTAATATTTTTAACACTGTGCTGTTTATCTACTCCTCCCCTCCCTGCCTGTCTCCATCACCTTGCAGTGTAATGAGCACCGATTGGCTGCTCGTCAGGAAAGTGGAGTGTCGGGCTTATCCTTTATTCCTTTCACTGCCAGAGCTGTTTTTGTGTTTTTTGCACACGTTTAAAAAATCATTTAAGGCCTGAAGATTACACAAAACTCCAAAACATATATTTTCTGAAAGCAGAGACCCTAGAGAATAAAATAGCGGTAGTTCCAATTTTTTTATGTCTCATGATATTATCACTAAGGTCTAGGAAATGCAAAATTTTAGTAAAAAATGCACTTAAGTTAATTTTAGGGCACAAAAAGCAATAAATTATCCAATTTGTTTGTGATAAAAAAGATGAGGCTGCAGCGAGTAAACAGATATCCAGCATGTCAAACCTTAAATTTGCATGCACTCGTGAAATGGCAACAAACTTCAGTACCCTATATTTTCTATAGGCAACGCTTTTAAATCCCTCATAGGTCATCAGTTTAGTGTTACGGAGGAGATCTGGTGCTAGAATTATTGCTCTCATTCTGGTGTGCACGGCGATATGTAACATGTGTATCGCAATTGTTGTTTTCATACATAGGCACCCCAGTGCATGCTTTTACATTTGTATGTGCTTATATGTGGGGGTGGGGGGCCGTGGAAAATGTTGGAGGGGTTATATGCTTGGGTGTAAATTTTTTAAAAAATAAAACATTTTTTTTTTTATTGCTTAACTTTTTTTTATCACATAGGGGATAAAAAGTCCCCTATGTGATGATTTTTGGTGACACGTTCTCTTTTTTGAGACATCTAGGGTCTAAAGGACCCTGCATATCTCCTCTGTACTACACTAAATGTAAGTCAGTGCACAGTGCACTGCATTACATTCTTTCCCGGCCTCGATGGCCAGGAATCTGTCAACGGGGACCCGGAAGTGATGCCACATCACTTCCGGGTCAGGACAAGAAGGGGAGGGGAGTGAAACTGGAACTAAGGGGCCAAGTCCAACCCCTGAAAAACAACCCCACATTGTAATCCCCCCTCCACACTACTTGTCACAATGCAGTCAGGAAAATACCGTTCTCCTGGCAACCTCTAATCTCATCTATGGGATTGCCACATAGAGCTTGATTCGTCATTCCAGAGAACACGTCTCCACTGCTCTAGAGTCCAGTAGCAGCGTGCTTTATACCACTGCATCTGATGATTTGCATTGCACTTTGTGATGTAGGACTTGGATGCAGCTGCTCGGCTATGGAAACCCATTCCATGAAGCTTTCTACACACTGTTGTTGTGCTAATCTGAAGTTTGGAGGTCTTTAGCTACTGACTCTGCAGACAGTTAACGACTTCTGCGCACTGTGCGCTTCAGCATGCGTTGACCCTGCTCTGTCATTTTACATGGCCTTCCACTTCATGGCTGAGTTGCTGCTGTTCCCAGTTGCTTCCACTTAATACTACTATAATAATACCACTAACAGGTGACTGTGGAATATTTAGTAGCAAGGACATTTCACGGATGGACTTATTGCACAGGGGGCAACCTATCACAGTACCATGCTTGAATTTATTGAGCTCTTGAGAGAGGCCAATTTGTTCACAAAGGTTTATAGAAGCAGTTTGCATGCCTAGGTGCTTGATTTTATACACCATTCGGGTGATTGAAACACCTGGATCCAGTGATTTGGAGGGGTGTCCCAATACTTTTGGCAATATAGTGTATTTTAATGTGAGCAGTGTAAGTATAATTGGACTGGGTATCAGCCTCTTGCAATCCCTGTACAGTAGAGCTAAGATGAGGGGAAGGAGAAGCAGCACAAAGATCCATTAGGTAGTGCTACAGTGCCAGGAGCATGCTGACAGGAAGGAAGAGCAGAATGACTGAGAGATGAGCTCTTTAGTCTGCTTCTTCTCTTTTCACTACCACTCACAGGTTAAGGAAAGGGCAAGATCTCTAAGGGTACATTTACAATAGCAGCAGCCTTGCCACCCCTCTGAAATACAGTCTGAGGTGGAAGGCATTTCAGATGATGTGTGACAGGTTGTTCATCACCACCTATTTTAACCCTGAAAAGCCTGCACCACTGAACTGCAACTGTGAGCAATGAGCATTACACACAGTACCAGGGTGGTGGTGGCAGCATGGCCCCATTTGTTTAGACGGGTCAGTGTTCAGTGACTGCCCTTTGAACATGACAAATATAAAACATTTAGCAGTTAAAACTCATTTTCATTCATTTTGCATTTGTGAAGAAAAGCTGTACAAACAAGTGCAGGTAAAAACTCATTTTTTTTTTTTTTTAAGTCCGCAAACGTGCAACTATAACGAAAAAAACCCGTAAGTGTTCACAAAAAAAGTGCAAGTGCAAAACCCCACACGAAAAAGTGCACTTAGGGGTGTGCTTTGTGTCCTACCCCTAAAGGGGCTTGGACCGCTTACCCTGATCCCCCGGGGCACGAAGCTCCTGACAGGGACAAGGCCAAAAGGCCTGGTGGACCACCGTTCCTTGTGTCCAGCCGAAGCCAGACACCCAGTACTTGGTCAGGGGGTTCTCCCGAAGAAAAACCCCCTAGGGATCAGGGGAGGAAGGAACCAAAAGGCCACACATCCTCCCCCTAGACTTCAGGGCAGGCCCGAGGACCCACACCCTCCATCCGTGAAAAACACACACAAAAAGAAAAAGTGACAAAACGTGGGAGTGTAAATAAATTAAATAAATAATGGTAAAAACTCATGCAGTAGCCACAGGCATTTACCCAAGCATGGCTGCATATAGCCCTTCAATTGTATTGGAGGCAACGTGTGGCTTCCCAGGAGATTTAATCCACTTACTGTGACACTGTCCCAAGCTACTTACTGATTGGGCAGGGGTTGTCTACACCCAGAATACAGCAAAGATTCAGATAGACCCAAACAACATCCTAGACACTTTACACTTACAAAAATTCACCAGAGAAGTTATTGCAGGGGCTTTATTTCAAGCACGCAGATTTATACTGTTTCATTGGAAGTCAGTGGACCCGCCCACATGCGCAGAATGGCTAAGGTATATAGGTGATACACTTCGCTTGGAAAGCATAGGAGTTCTGCTGATAAATTTGAGAAATGATGGGCACTCTGGTTAGAAAACCCAGATCTTAATCCACTAGACTTGGTAACTAGCAGGATTCTTTAGGCTAGTTGGCCAAGCTTGGAGTGTTGACAGGATCTTTTGCCTGGTGTTATTGTTCCTTTGTAATGACCAGTTGATCTAAGGCACTTATAGCACCATATGTGTTTTAATGCATTTAGATGCTGCACTGTTGGAAATTTTGTAACTTGCATGTATACAATCCCATTTTTGAGTAATGGTCACTCTGCAAATGTGTACATTCTTTAATAACAATTTTTTTTTTATTTACAGAAAAACTGTTCAACCTGCAGAAAAAAAACCTGAAAAAGGAGGATCGCTTAATGGACCTGCGCAATAGGAGGATAGAGTCTCCACTTATTGACTGACTGAATGAAATAAATAGATTATGTGGCAAGAGTGCTAATGATAAATTTCAGGAGAGGGTAGTGGAAAATCCAGCTGGGGCCTCATATTTAGCGAGATTTACAGGTATAAAAAGTTGCATGTTCAGTTCATACCAGATTGGCATGCAAGTCCTCAAAACTGTGAATGTGACCAGTACCAGGACAGGTTCATCTAGGCCCTGGGCAAGGATGCAGAACTGTGCCCCCTCATAATGCATGTTGTAGAATGGATATACCACCTTTTTTATCCATGGTTGGTGTGGAGTGTACACTGCCCATGCATGGTCAATCACTTGATTTCTTGTGGCTAGAAGATAGCTGCCCAAGCACAGTGTGTTTTTGTATTAACTGTGGGCATATGGGGTAGACAGCAGGTATGTTGGAGCACAGTATGACAGCACTAGCTGTCAGAGCAGACATGAGACTGCATCCCTCTGGTTGCTAGCCACAGATCTAGAGCTTGCATGAGATGAGAGGACGCTTTCCCCTACCACTCCGTCCTTTGGGGCTTCCCTTCCTGCCCACCCCATGTCACCCCTAGGGGTGACTACAGCATAGCTACACTTTTGGACCCTTGCTGTCAGAGCATATTAGTGAGGACATTGTTTCAAGGTTTTTAAGGGAGAAGCAAAGAAATACCTTCACAAAGCAAATATCTCATGTCTTTGAGAATTAAGGTGGTTCTAAAAGCTCAAGGTTTTTTTTTTTTTACCTTAATGCATTCTATGTATTAAAGTAGAAAACCTTCTGGGAGCATCCCCCCCAAGTCACCCTTATACTTACCAGAACCCTATCTCAATTCAGTGATGTGCATGAGAGCAGCGGTTCTCCGGGGTATCTCTCTCCTCATTGGTTCACACAGTATGCTGCTATCAATCGCAACCAGTGAGCCAATGAGGAGAGTGTGGGGGGTGGGGCCAAGCCAAGCTCCGTGTGGCTAAGGATTGAGCCTGCTCAAGTATCATCTGAATACTATCTCTATCTGGGGCAGCACTGGAAATTTCAGCAAGCAAAACAAACAAATACAGTTAATATTTCCAGTTTCAGCAGCATAGTATGACACAAGCACAAAGGATTGTCAAGAAAAGATGGTCATTGTGCCCCTAGAATGTCCAGAAGTCCTAGCACTCAAAAATCATGGCATAGTAGTGTGCCGTTGTCTGAACTGGGCTAGTCTGCCATCCAGATGTCTGATTGCCCAGCTTGCATGTTCGAAAGATTCTTAAAAAAAAAATGTGAAACATTATCACGTGCATGGAAATTAATTTATACTAGGTAAGCAACACTTTCTCTGTAACCTCTTTGTAATGTGATCATCACCCC